GGTTGCGCTGAAAACACTAAAATGAGACGCTTATACCAACTATCGGGACAATTTTGAAAGACAACCCGCTTGTAAAGAAGAGCGGCAACGTGTAATCAAAATTTCCAGCAAGCGCACTAACCGGGCTTTGGATTTCTTGCATTGCATGGCATATCATCAGCTAGCATCAATATTATGTTGCTGAAACACAGACCAACTTTTGATGTCAAGATAGGGGTTACACAATTTCAAACAAATCGGGAGGAAAACGGCGAACGGGTCGGACAACAGAATGCAAAAAAAGCAAGTGCAAAGACCACTGATTAAGAGTTCGATATACATACACTCACATTCGCGATATTCTAACTAAACTTGTTTTCTAAAGTTTTATATGGATAAAGGCCTACGCGGCTGGAGGGGTGCTCTTGTAGGGGTTTGAACAGCACTCACCCAAATCAACAAACAATGATTTATTTTAAAAAATACGCACACCCAAATAGAAACAACCGAGAAGCATGGAACACACGACATGCAGCTGCAAGCTGCCGCCCAATAATCTCGTACCAAAAAACAATGCTCCATTTCATTTCTAGTCACATCATTATATATCATGGAGGCGGAAACTCGAGTCTTGAGACGGGAAATTTACATATCACGCGGAATCGAAGGGCAACTGGGCAAGGCGAAAGAGTCTAACCGCCAGCTTCATTTTCCTGCTGTTAACACCCTCTTCTTTTTGCAACATATCGGAAGCAAATTTAAATCCTCAAGATTGCATAAGGACAAAGGGAGATTTTTTAATATTGCAGCCTCCTGTAGCATTCCGCCTCCTCCCAGAGCTACAAAATTCCCAACCAGGATTTTCATTTGTTTGTACGCAATTTCAAGGTGTGAATCTAAATTCCCGCGAACGCACATGGATTAAAACATCATGCTGAAATTTTAGCTTTCTCTTTTGTCCTGCTCCAGAATTAAATGTAACGGACATGTTTTCTGCTCAGGTTCGGGTTTGCCAAAATTTTCAACTGTTTGTAGATGAGAGGTGGTCGAGCATGGAAATCGGATTCAAATTTTTCGTTATACGCACATAAGCAAAAAACACCGTCGTAGAAGACACACATATGGACTCGTTAAAATTTTGACGGGAAAATCACTAGCTCGCAAACCAGGAAAATTTGGGATTCAGAAAAAGAAATTTTTCCATCAAAAGTTTTTCCTGCCTGTTAAGCATATGTGAAAGGTGGTTTTAATTTACCGAGCCCGAAACAGGAGCAGGAAACATTTAAAGTTCAGTCTTCTAGATTTTCTGCCTAGTTAGAGAAATTGGGCAGGTGTCGAAAAGACAAACACGTGCACAGAGTGAGGAACAAGATCTTGACAACAAGCATTTCATCCCCATTCCCTCTTCTTTGTTCCCCCTCCCCTCCCTCTCACATTCCCTATCCAATCCTCCATTTGCAGAATGAAACCCAGGCTGGAAAGCACCAGGCTCTCCGGTGCAATCATGCGTTTTTGCACTAAACTCACAGATCGCTATTAGCAAGAATGATCCCTAGCTGTAGCCTAACGCTTGGATCATATTGGCCGTGCTTTGATCCTTTCCGACATGCAGGAGGAAGGGAGTCAGTTGGGATAAAGATGATACATTATAGAGCCGCACGGACATCCAGGTGCATGATTACCGGTTTTATGCATGAAGTCCGGTCGTTTTTTCGGTAAACGCTGGCTTTGTGAAAAAACGACAAATGCAAATTTTTTGAAAAAATGCGAATTTCCAGTTCACTAAAAAGTGGAAGTATTGCTCGA